TAACTTTCTACAAGTTTAAGTTAAATAATAATTAATTCAAATTAAAAACTATATAATTTTTCCTTTCTTTTGTGAAACTGAATTTTTTAAATCACTCATTACGTTCTTTACGTCACTTCACGAATTACGTTACTTTTGACGTAAGATAGCGATATGTATTTTGCTATCTCTTTTCCTCTTTCTGCGTTGAAAGAACAGCATATCCAATTCAGAATTAACGCGAAAAGCTACGAATTGATGCATCAAATTTAATCGTTTACCTCTATTCCAGATATGAAATATGTCTTTGCCATATCTTATCTGGAAAATATTTCTGATTGTATTTGAAAATGATAATAATCATATAATATGTCCATATTTTTCATTTTTGTTTTCTTACGTAATATGGTAGCTAGTAAAATATCCATCGCATATTAGTTTATATATAATAAGTTTACTCTATCTTGAGTATTAAAAAAATATTAGAAAAAGCAGATTTCTGCTTAAAAGATCTGCTTTTATTACGAAAAAACATCACATTAGGAATAAATGACGAGAAAGTAACTTTTAATTCATTTATTTTCCGCAGGGGAATTGATAAAATATACCCAGTCTCGAATAATGGATTATCTAAATGACTGATATCTTTAGACATCGAAAATCGATAGTACTAACTAATGGCGTTTCCATAATTGAAACTGTACTTCGACTGTTCCGTGACCGACGCTGACTCGAATTTCAAAGTAATCATAGAAAGCACTTAGTCGGTTCGGACTAGCCTTCTCGGCAATATGGGTCATGAATATTCACTCGGATAGTCATTGTTATTACTTGATTCTACTTACAATTGGTCCGTTGCTCATGTTCCGTGAACATAAACGCGCGCATGTCCGACAATGTATCGTACGAGTCTTTTGTCGCCGACTACAATAGAACGTTACAACCAATGCGGACAAAATGTCCGCATTAGTTGTAATATCTGAAGAATATAGCGCAAAAAATCATGTTAACGAAGCTAAAGTAATATCAATGTGCTTTAATTAGTCTTACCTCTTGAGCGTTCAAAGGCATGTACATACCAATTATATCCGTAATGATCCCATAGAAAGCTAATGTGGCACGATTCAAATTAATTTGAAGCGCATATCTTGATAGATTGGTTGATGTTGACGTAAATATCCTTCATCATATGAGAGAGGATTTCATAAAATAAAATATACCTCCATACGTTCGCTGAAAAATGAAACGGATTAACGAAAATTTGAAACGACGCGATAGTGCTCTGTTAATTTATTAGGCATTTAATTTTTATATATGTTCACAGATATATTCTTAACCTGTATTGCCAAAAACTGGCGTACATTGAAATAAAACTTTATATAAATTACAAGAAATATAAGTATCATCAAATGTAAGAGCAAAAGTTATATTTCGAAATCAGAAATTATCTATTGTGAAGAGATACGATTTGGAGATTTATAATCTTGAGATTTGAAGATCATGTATACTTCGTAAATTCGAGATACCCTAACTTTTTTCCCTCTCATTCCATTTTGAAATCTTTAAATCCAAATTTTAAGATTTTCAATATTAATTCTTATTGAAGAATGTACATATCTGTACTGCTTGTTTCTTTTGATATATTGAATGTTTGATATATTGAATGTTTTAGTAGCAATCTAAACATAAAAAGAACGATTGATTCCGTAACATCTATCCGATTTAGATATTCGATACATTTACAATATAATTCTAGGCATAAACCACGTGATCGATATTCTTCGTGATCTTATTCATATTTACCGTGAATAAAGCAACAATAGTATTCCTTGCGTAAGTAATAAACCTTGCATTGTGAGGGAATAGTGATAGCGATAGAAATAATCTATCAAAAATCGTATATAATGCACGGTTTCTAATAAGTTATTCTTATGTTGTTTCTATCGTTATCGCTGTTGCTTTGCATTGTGTAAGGAACATAAATACAACATACAGCATCTGACGCGTCAGCATTTAAGCTGCGCACTGGTTGGTGAAGTAAAGGACAGGAATCAAGCTGAAAATCAGTCAAAATGTGTAAGTAAATCTCAGCATTGGTTTAAGAAATAGTCGAAATGGTACATTGTCGAAAATGAAGTGAACATGAAGTAGGTACGAGAAGCCTTCACCTTCAAAAGAAAAATACTACGCGTTCATAAGAGTGGTATCTCCAATTAAACTTGTATTTATTATTATTTTGTGTATTTCGTACCTCGTGCTAATATATCTCCGGAAAAATATCTTCTATTAAAAAAAATACTTCTTATTAGTATGTAATTCGACATATCATTTCTATTCAGAAATTAATATCTCGAATTTTTATAAGTTATGCAGTTAAGATACATGGTTAGGTTAGGTTAAGAGCGTTTATGTATAACGTACATAATATGCTATTTCAAATTAAAAAAAAAATTAAAAAACTTTCTTAATTATTATTGCTTTATACGATTCTTCAAGGCCTTAAAAAAAAACTAACTTGGACCTAAAATCGAGATAATTCAAATTTTGAATGCTCGGATAACATTAAAAACCTTAAAGTATATCAAAATTTTAAAGACATTTTAAGATGTTTTAAGTTCTGATTTTATAAACTGACACGTGTGCTGTCAAGGCATTTTTTTATTGTACAATAATTATGTCAAAATTACCCCATTTTATTAAATAAACCGATAAAATAAAATTAGCAATTTCTGATCGCGAGCTTATGCACGGCAAGTGCATGTCGGTGTCGCAAATATTCAATCTGTGCAAATTATCGGTATGAGAGACGAGCATAATCCGGTTGCCTAGAGAAACCCATCGACCCATTACTGTATTTTAATGCATCCCGAGTATAATTAATGATTCTACGTCGTCACCTCAGATTTTAATTAATTAATGCATCGATGTACAATACGCGTTATAAGCTACGAGAATCGATGTAAGCCACGGACAAAAATGAACTGATACGCTGCGAGAAACGGCGGTAAAACGAGCACACTTTAATTTTGTCATCTACATATCCATTTTGTAATTCACTTTGTCTGAAATACAAGTTGCTGTGAGCTGTTTTCAAATACAAGAAAAAACGAAAATATTTCCTTTTTTTTTTTTCTAGAAAAGAATCGTGTTAGAAAAGAGAAATAGTTTTTTTTTTAAAATAAGGTAAAACCAACGTCATTTAGCGTAATTAAATATACACCTGTTTCAACCCAACAGATCTTGTCATTTTTCTGCTTGGTAATCATATATCATAATACACGAAAGGGGCGGCAACTGCACTTATGTAATCGGTTTTTCAGTTTACTTAATTTGCTTATAGTATTGCGCGTTTACTATTTCATTTTTAGAGCTTTGTTTTTTTTTAAATCTAATGTTTGCAAGAACGATTTTTGTAAAAATTTATTGTAGGTAAATATAGATCTGAAAATAATTTTGTAGGTTTTGGACCGTCAAAATAATTAGGAATAATTATGTAGGAATAATATGTAGGAAACTCTAACATGATAAGCAATGCTGCAAAAAGATTTATCCTAGCATCCATCTTGAGCGTCCAGTTATTTGATGCAACGATCCAACAAAATTATTTTCAGAGCTACATTTAGCTAAATTTCTGAATACTTTAGCAAAATTGTTCTTTTTGTGTAAAGTCTGAAATAAAATATTGTGCTGTTTTGCTCTTATCGAGACGACATATTGCACGCGTGACCAAACTAAGTATGCCTATCTCGCGTAAAAGGAAGGTAGGAAATATCCTATGACTTGTTCTTTAAAGTACAAGTGCTTGCGGCAGACTAGAAAGATCCTCGCGCAGAAGTGCGCTGCTAAACGCGCTTCGTGAATAGATAAAATAAAAATGATCTGGGAATTTTCTTTGAAAAGTAAAGCAAAGTCCCCTCTGAAAAGATCCTCCCATCTCCGCATGTTTGCTTTGTGGAATATCGTCGCGCACAAACGCACCCGGGAACTTTACCTTAGGATGGAGAATGTTGCACTAGTAAAGCGTATACCCTTTTTAAATAGTAAAGTGGTGTCTACAATATAAAAATAGTGAGCCTTAAATTATAAGAAATTGATCAATCATAGTCGATTATTCTCATCATAGCCGATTATTCTCTTCACATTCGATTGATCAATTTCTTACAGCTTAAGGCTTATATTTCTTCCTGTGTAACACAGATTTCCGAGGAATATTTTAAAGATGTTTTACGTTCTAAGGACGTTCCCTCGGATAAAATGCGTTGTAGACACCGCTTAATGCAACGCGAGGGACATATTTTTTGTACTAATATTAATCTTTTACACAATGAAAAAAGAAGGAAAAAACATATGAGAGTTTTGTTATTCGTGTTAATACCCGGCCATATAAAATAATCCGTTGACCTCGGATTTGCATGATCAGCAGGTACACGCGTAAAAATTGCCGTGCAAAACCGTGCGAGATACGACTGTTTGCATTGCTCATGTGCAATTCTGATTTACACAAGTCTGCAATCGCCAGCTAAATGAAATCGTGATAAGGGTTTGCATAGTTAATGCCTACGTAAAAGCTATCATGCGAATAAAATCCTCCGGATAAAGCCGGGGAACAAATGCCGTAGAGAATAGAGACGATTTCTAGGCTTTTTGCATTATACGGATATTTACGAGGCAGTTTAATGAAATCCGTGTGAGCGGGTGGGTTTCCGGATTTATACGGTACACATAAATAGCGAGAGAGGTACGCGTATAAATTGAATCTGGCCAGAAGCGGAGGAAGAGATTCTCATTTGCCACTCGCTTTGAAACGCCGTCGATTTGTGTGCGCACGGCATTTTTCATATGTGCACAATGCGCAAATCGAAGGGTTCCCGCTTTTTGTTGCTCGTCGCATTGTTGTCATTGTTTATTGTCGTGCATTGGAGATAACTCAATTTTTTATCGTTCCTCTGTTGCAGCACTGTTTCGCGATATCGTATAGGAGGGAGAACCAACGGCAATATGAGCTAAAAGCGGCCACAGAGACGAACTGCAAAGCATGGATCGATGCGATACGAGAAGCTAGGTAAACGACGGCTAGCGCTCGAATCGAAGATCTCGGGGAGTGATTAAAATGCTCTGATTCACGGAGATCGCTCATCCCATAAATCATCACGATCATCTCGATGACTAATTGTGAGCGTAGTCAGGCGGCGTTTAATGTTTCAAAGCTCCAATTAGATTCGTCGTTTCAATCATTCGTGCCGGCGATTAATTTTATCCATAGCTAGAAAAATTCTACATCATAGATGGGGTCAAAGAAGGGGAAGTTAGAGAGTTTAATCTCTCTTCGAATTTTTGTTTATTTTTTCATTTTTAATCATAGAAGGTATAACTTTATTTTTTTATTCTGAATGAATTTTTTGTTGCCACATAAAATGTTTTTGTTTCTTCACTACATAAGCCCATAATTTCAGGAACTTCTATTAGTTTGAACTTGAATGTATCTAATACATAAAGAAAATTTTTACTAGATTTTTGAATCAAAAACAATATATGTACTAAGATATTAATGAATATTCTACTTACAATTGCAGACTTCGTTTTTAATCTTTTCGCTATGGCGGTCCCTTTTCCGCTGAAATGTTCCCGCCGCACTAAAAGTGTACACGTGAATAGTCTTTTAGCGTTCGGACAGTGCTAAGAAAACGTATCGAAATAAAGTGAGCAAGATTGAGCGACATTGGCGTAAACATAGAATCGGAACATAAACAAAATATAGATAGAGCTGTACTTTGCAAATCCAAAATATATGAAATTGTTGAAATTTATTGGCGAGTCATTATAGTCGTCCATCGTAGTGAAAGGATTAATAACTATATTTTGCCTATACTTTTCTTTAGAAAAAAAATTATAAATTATGATTTTTTATTATATTTAATATTTTTTCTATTTAATATCAGAGACAAGGAAACATTCTAAGTTCTAAAATTTCCAAAAAAATTAATTTATTAACATAAAAAAATTACTGTTTATATGATGATAGAATTGATAAAATGAAAAAATTACAGATATGTCTATGCTCATTATCACGCATCAAATTTATTGGATCATTGAATTCGATGATTAGATCATCGATTTCAACTTACTTAAGCTTCTCTATTTTCTTTTCTGATAAAATTAAAAATGTTTTGGCTGATGTATTAATATCAATTGAAAGCCAAAAAAATCTTTATATCTTGAATAGTTTTCGAGATATTGGGTTCGGGAAGAAATGTTTTATATGTAATTATATAAAATTATATAAAAATATATATAATTTTATATAATTGTACTCGAGTTTTCTTTAAAATTGTGATTTCAGTGTTATTGTATATAAAGTTTGATTATCAATATAAATGATAACTGCAGAGAAAAAATACAATGTATAAAATATTATAGCTTTACAAGTATGTACATTTATTTATGGAACATTTATGTAATAAGATATTAATTGAATTTATGTAATAAGATATTAATTGAATTTAATAATGTATTAGTCAAATATTTATGTTAATAGTAGCAAATTTATATCAATTATCGATGATGTCAACGTTTTTATATATCCTTGAGGATCTCCTTATATCGTAGAAAATTTACCCAGGTGA